TATTTCCACTGAACTTTCAGTAGAGTATGTTAAAGACAGAATCAAAATGTACGATTTACACTGTAAATTTGAAGTCATAAAGATTCAATAGGAGGCAAGTAGATGAAAACGGTACTCAATATATTCCAACAAAAACATGTGTAGTTAGTTTTAGGTCACAGGTACTATCAAAATATGTAACAATCAACAAGGTACTAAAGAAAGTCGAGCCATATAAACAAAAGGTGCTATTATGCTTTAATTGTCTTAGATTTGGACATACAGGGGGACAGTGTAAGAGCAGGGCTAGGTGCATAAATGTCAGAAATCACACAACTCAAAAGAGTGTAAAACGACCGATATAATACCAAAATGTTTTATTTGTTCGGGGAATCATTTTACTGAAAATTTGAGCGCGTGTCAGGAATTTCAACATCAAAAACTTGTAAAAGACGCTATGTCTTCCAGTCATATTAGTTATCAAGACGCCAACAGACAGTTCCTCAGAAACTCCTATGCAAAAGCAACAACCATTAATATGGAACAAACTAAAAACATTTCCAGCCTCAAAACTTTCCCTCCATTAAATCCTAATAATTATACACTCACCCAGCTCCCATCAAATTCAATTAAACAAATGTCAACAAATAACATATTTTACAATAATTCAAATAGTACAAATTCTAGAACATTTAAAAGACAGAGACCAAATAAGTAGTCCAGATCCAACATTAATTTTGCATAATGAAATTATAGCTTCCCCTAGATCTCAAGTACCTACGGGAGGAATATTAGACACTATTAACTATAAAGGAAATATTAATAATAAATCAGTTTCATCTCCTTCAGACCTGAGCATAATAAATTCAATATTAAAATTAGTTATAGAAATTGTCACAAAAGTTTTAGTAACAAAAAGTATAAATATAAATAAGGAAGAACTCGAAAACTTAGTCAAATTAACTATAAATGGAAACACGTCATCACATTCTCAGACCTCAACCATGCAATAAATATTCTTCAATGGAATTGCCGTTCAGCAGTTTCTAATAAAACTAACTTAGAATATCTACTAGCTAGGGGCAACTACTCCGTTGCACTTCTATCGGAAACATGGTTTAAAGCAAAAAAATATTATAGTTTTAAAGCCCTCAATATTCGCTGTGACCGGGACGACGGGTACGGCGGCTCAGCCATTTTATTAAAATCAGACTTAATATACCAAGAAGTCTCAATTCCAACTACAATAAACTTCGAGCATACTTACTTGTATCTAGGTTAATTTTCCATTTATACATAAAAAATTTTATTTAAATTCGTTTCAGTATACTTTAAACCGAGAACTATAATATCATTACAACAGTGGATCAACTTTTTGGAACAAATTCCAAAACCATTCATAATTGGGGGCGACTTTAACGCACATAGTTTGGCTTGGAATGATGGATATGATGATATCTATGGCAAGATTCTTTTGGAAGCTATCGAACAATGCAACCTAGTAATTTTGAATGAAGGATCACCTACATTAGCAAACAATGATATAGACAATTAGCAACAGCTGTAGACTTGACCCTCTGTACACAGGATCTGACGCACCTAATTATGTGGTCTACTTAGAAGAACCTTATGGCTCTAACCACTTACCAATAGACATACAATTTGAAAGCAGCCCGCTTGCGAAAATTAAACAGACAAAACATAACATTTGGAGACTCAAGGCTGCTAATTGGGATGTATACACCGCTACACTTGAAGCTACAAAACCAAAATCATCACTAATGGGAATTATTGACAACATTAACAAAGCTGCCAACAAAGCAATTCCCTTACAAAAATCAAACACACAAAATAGAAATCATTGTTCGAAGGACTGGTGGAATGAAACCTGTAACAAAGCTGCTAAATCAAGAAAACAAGCTTAATTAACCTACACACATGCTCCAAATCTTAATAATCTAACAAAATATAAAAGACTTTATGCAGTAGCTAAAAAACTTTCAAACAAACTAAGAAAAAAAGCTGGATTAATTATTGCCAAAATCTAAATCAAAATACACCAATTAAAGAAGTGTGGAACAAAGTAAACCAATATAAAAACCGAAAACAATAAATAAACCCCCAATTAACCCCAAAGAAGACTGGATAAACGAATTTCATACAAAACTGTCGCCCCCATGGGTTGAAAACAACATTACTCAACAAATAGCTACCATAAATAGAAACACTTCTTTTCTACAATCACTATTTCAATTATGGGGACTAATAAATCTCCCGGGGCAGATAAAATTTCATACAATATGTTGCATAAAATGCCCTTAGGCCATAAGAAAGTCCTGTTAGAATTGTTCAATTCGATTTGGATAAATAAAACTCCTGTTCCACCAATGTGGAAAGAATACATCATAGTACCTATCAAAAAACCTGAAAAACAGAACGGAAATGCGGATTCATATAGACCCATAGCTTTATCATCGTGTAAAACCATAGAAAGAATGATAAAGAACAGGCTTGAATATTGACTAGAAAATGAATTATCATTGTGTATATTTAAAACCATGGAAAGAATGATAAAGAACAGGCTTGAATATTGGCTAGAAAATGAAAAAACATTACCTGACTCACAATATGCTTTTAGAAAGGGAAGATCTTCCTTAGGACCCCTAACGATACTAGTAAATGACATCTATCTAGGATTCTCACACAAATACAGCACTTTGGCTACATTTTTGGATATAACTTCAGCATATGATAATGTTCAATATGACAAGGTAGTATCTTGAGCCCAAAGACAATAGATATAGACAATGGACATAGAAAATATTATATCACTTAAGTCCAAAATTATTCAATACGCTGATGATGGTGTTATTTACACTAGTAACAAATCAGAGGACAAATGTATAGAAAATATCAACACTGAATTTATAGAAATCCAAAAATGCCTAGACAACATGGGACTTTCCATATCCGAGTTCAAAACCAATATATGTATTTTCTCTAGAAACAGAAACAACTATCAAAGACCATTAACAATAGGAAAATATAAACTCTGTATTAGCAACTCTGTAAAATATCTTGGTCTACATCTAGATAGAAAACTATTATGGAAGGACTGTATCCTCCAAATTATCAAAAAACAAGTAATTCTATAAATATTTTAGGAGCGTTTTGTAGGGCAAAGTGGGGAGCAGACCTAAATACGGTTTTACTATTCTACAAAACAATGGTATGATCAATAATAGATTATGTAAGTCAACTCTATGGAACAGCAGCAGATACACATATCTAAATAAAATCGAGATAGAACAAAATAAATGCTTAAGAGTTTGCCTGGGATATCTTAAGTCAACACCCATCAATATTATACAAGCTGAAGCAGTGGAACCTCCCCTTAAACTAAGAAGACAACTATTGAGCAGAAAATTTATGATAAAAACCATTTCCAAAAAAACTTCTTACCTCAATAGTATACAATCATTAAGAGGTCAAGTTTTGTTTTTGTAACAAGTCAAACCCCCCTCATAGTAGAAACTTTCTCAGAAATACCTGACATTACAGACATACTTTATTCCAACCAACTCCCCCCGGTTCTAATTTACTCGCATGAACAAATTTTTTCACATGAAATTAGAACCTAAGTACTATTTTGAAAGTCAAGAAGCAGCAAGTATCAATCAAACAAAGTTTAACAAAACAAAAAACAAATACTGGTCAAACTATGATTATATATTCACTGATGGATCAAAGTCAAAAGAATATACCAGCTGTACCTTTTACCATTTGGAAGAAAATATTGACAAAAAATTTATTCTACCAAAGGAAGCTTCCATATACACTGCAGAATTAACAGCAATAGTGCAAGCTATGAAATACATACTGGGCTCTAACCATGACAAATTCATAATATGTACGGACAGCAAAAGTGCAGTAGATAAACTTAAAAAGTAAACATAAATAGATCAGTTAATCATATTGAAGCAAATATCCTGTATTTACATAATGAGATATATATCAAGAATAAAGTCGTCATATATCTATGGGTAAAGGGACACGCAGATATAACAGGTAATGAAATAGTAGATGCCTTAGCAAAAACAGCCCCAACATCAGGAGAAGAACTAAATCTTAAACTACCCCCCTCCGACTTAATGTTAAACTAAAGAAACAAAATAACTGAGATGTGGCAAAACCTATACAACACTTCAACAACCAAAACAAACTTTTGTAAACACCAGCAAAGAATTCCCAGAAAACCATGGTTTCACAAAATACCAAACAGAAACTTTGTTGCCACAATAAATCAAGTATGTGCTAATCATGCACTAACCATGATGTACTACAACCATGTTGTAGTTGTGGTAAAATGGGTACATTAGTACATGTTTTACTTGAATGCCCAATAAATAATGTAAATATTAATAAACTGTATAAAAACTTAATTCACTACAAGATAAACCTTCCAATAGACCTAAACTGTATTATTTTTTCAGGAAATATATTTATGTACTTCATCAACAAAAAAATTTAACACCTTACACATTTTATATATTACTAACAAAACAAATGAATACATCATGCTCAGGTTTGATACTATGAAACATTTTCTGGTATCTCCAAAAATGTATCTTCTCTATGAGATAGGCATGGATGGAATTTTTACACCTGAAAGTAGAAAATTGTACCTGTCCTGGCAAGATCTTCATAGGCTGATGTGGACAATATGTTGAAATAAAATTTGTGGATGGACCTTAGTTAAAGAACCTAAATTATAGAAGCACGCGTTTTTTCCGGAGCAATGTTTTTTACATTATCCATCAGACTACTACATAATTATTTTAAAAAGTTTTGTTGAAACTTTGGAGTTTTATTATTCTTAAATAAGCGCTTATCATTCGGTTTCATGAATTCGTTTTGTCAATAACTAATTTCACTTCATTTCGTATTCTGTCCTAGGACGAGCTCTAGTGGTAGTCTAATAACAATAATTTGTCATGAAATTTGGAGCAGCAAATACTCACCCCAGTAGGCTACTACTAAATTTCTTTCGTCATGCTCATCGGCCAGTTTTAAAAGATGTGCAAGAGGCTTTACCTCCTGTGTAACAGGAGGAAATTTTACCACCATTATAAAATATCAAAAGATTCTCAATTCAATTCTAAAACTAGCTAGAAAGAATGGAAATGACAAAATGACTAATTTATAATCAAAAATTTTCATGACGCCTGACAATGACAAATGACAAGTATTGGTGTGGTAGATGAAATGTTCTGAGGACTGGAACATTTTATCTACCAATTATTTCAATTATCACAACTGCTGTATTAAAGAAAGATTTGAAGTAATTTGAAACAATTATTCTCAGAATAATATAAATATTTTTTCTATCAATTATGGTTTTAGATACCTGTTTATTTAAAGATAAATGATTATGACTAAATATATCATTCCAGTAGTTCATTTAATTTATCTATAGTTCATTAAATCTTACAATGGCTACCGTGTTAAATTTAAGTAATATTCCTTTTAAAACTATAAATCGCCATTTAAAAACAGTATTTTACCAAAAAGAATGCATATTTAAAGTTTATGGACAAAATACAAAAAATATATACCTTAGCCAATTCTACTATACCAAAGTAAGTTTTGATTGAACATTCTTGTAGATCATATAACTAAACATTTTTTAGGAGTATTCTACAAAAACTGAGAAAAAAACAGACAGTAACAAAGTCAGTGCTGGTATTTTAGCAGGAATTTTAAGTAAAATACCTAGTAGTGCTCCCAAAGCACAACCTATTCGAGGATGTTTTCATCCAGGAGCCTCGGCTCTGACCAGAGAAACTATATTCTTACAAAAACAGACACCTGTTACTGGACGGCAAATGGTAGGAGCTATGCTACAATATATTTGGCCAGAAAATGATAAATCCATAAGAGACAGGGTAAAATTAGCTGTGTCTTTACTTATTGGAGCCAAGGTCATGAATGTGTGTGTCCCATTTATTTTTAAGTATTCTGTGGATTATTTGAATGTTGGAAATGCCTTAAACATGGAAACTGCTCCACAAACGGTAGCCACTGTAGCAACTAGTTTATTATTAGGATGTAAGTTTAATACTAATATGTATGTTTAGATAATATATACACACACATACATATATATATATATATATATATATATATATATATATATATATATATATATATATATATATATATATATACTTCATCTAATTTAGATAACGACTTACGTCATTATCTACGCCAGAGATCGAAGTTGACATAGTTGCCAAGGTTTAAAAAAATCTGACTCCATTTTAAATCAAATAGATTACATAATATTACAAAAGTATTACCATCTCTTTACAACCACTATTTAAATCTTACGTGACATTTTTGAAATAAAACACACTAGTTTTGTTTTAAAAAGAACAGATTTTATTAAATAGTTAAAAATATAAAACAAGAGATATTCACTTTAAAATTCAAAATAATGAAGTACAAAAAGTGTCAATACCGCAACTGTCACATAAGTGTTACCAATTTATGCCAAAATTTTAGCTTTGTTCGATTACAGTTACAGTGTGTTCCGAACAAATGTTCTTGATAAAAACGCTTTATAATGCATTTATACAAATTAAATGAAACATATTATTGTGTATTTCTTTAAGTTAACATTAATAGAAATTTTTAAATATTATTTCTACGCGTATATAATAAAATATGTCTAGTGGCGTAATGCCAGTGTGCTTGGTAAAGTGATTCTAAAAAAGAACACAGCTACACCCTAAATATTTTGTGTTGGTATCATGTAACGTCACAGGCTATGACGTCGATGACGTGCATCGTTATATAAATTAGATGAAGTGTATATATATTATATATATATATATATATATATAATATATATATATTATATGTATATATATATGTATATATATATGTATATATATATATATGTATATGAGTAGCACAGAGGTAAACTGTCGTATGTCCCATCTATTAAGTTTAGAGAAAATGACGATTGAAATTTTATTGCATGAATAATTGGCCGTTACAGATTTAAAAAAGTAGCACAAAAAATTGATCTGGGACTGTTTCTAAATTTAATATGCGTGATACATTGAAGTTAATAATCTTTATATATCTCAAAACAAAAAGATGATTTAGTGGACTTACGATTATTTACCTCAACACAAATCTTCTCATAAGAAAAAAACATACTATACATTATATATTACAAAATATTTTATTTTGAATTCAAAATAATCTTACAGTATAGAAAAATACAAAAAAAATTTTAATCCAAAAAGACAAGACTAACACAAATTTATTCGTCATCATCTTGGTTATCATTGCTTGAATTTATAGGTATGTTTTGGTAAAAACTATGAAAAATTGTAGGAATCCACTGAAGAAGTGAGTTCAAATGATCCTTTTTTTTCTTGCTGACACCTTTTAAAGTATCTCGTAGTTGAGGTAAGGTAGTAGGTAGTGTCGAAGATTGTCTAACTGACCTTGAAAAATTTACAGTTTTGAAAGCTTCATCCCCAAACTGCGTTTTATAGAAAATAATTGAAGGTTTCTCAGTACGAGCCTCAAGCCAAACCAACGTAGATATCAAAAAGTTTTCCTTATCTGTGTTTTGCTTTTTAGTTTTAAACGGTGCTTCTGGAGAGCTGTATAATGCTGCAAAATTTTTAAAATCAGCTATTTCCATACGAAAAACCGTTGCACCAGAAGCTCTTATAAGTTGTTCCCAATCCCAAGGTGTCACAATTTGCGTTTTGGGTTGTTTCTTAATGGTTCTTTCAATTAAGGCATGGATATGGTCGGCTTCCATGTGGGTATGTCCACGTAATAAGAATTTGTGTGTAACAGTTTTTAAGGAAGGAATTTCTTTTAAAAGCCAAAAATAACTGCTTAGTATCATTACGTTTCGGTTTTGGCTAGGACAGTTATCTGACCATATGATCAAATTTTCTATTCCACTTCCAGGAAGTACATTGCCTGCCCATTTTAATAGCGCCGAAGCTATTTCATTACCGCCTCTTCCAGATTTTGACTCATCCCAAGTTATACAGTACGATTTTTTTTTCTGTAGCATCATATATTGTCAAATTAAGTGTCCATAATTTTAACAAATAGAAGCTTTGACAATTTGACAAATAAGGAGTAGGCAAGCATTTCTGAAGGTCCAGCATTATAACTTTAGTTTTCTTATTACTTCTGCTCTTAATCTTGTCATTCCTTTTTTCTTGATAGCGCTTTTCGGCTTCATCAAGATGAGCACGGTAAGCTTCTTGAAACTCGTCTTTCTTGTTTTGATCTAGAAAATTATCTTTCTGTTTTAAAATGAACCTATCACAAGCATCACACGTATCACTAGAAGGCTTTTTAAACCCTAAATTGAATTCGTTATCAAAAACTCGTTTGTAAGCCCAATGCTTTACTACTTCATTTTTTGGAATACCGTCTTGGTCACATTGTTGCAAGTACAATTCGTAAAGTTTATTGGTGTTCAGGTCACTTCCTAAGTATTTTTTGGCACTTTTCTCTCGGCTGTAGTGACTCTGATAAATCGGAAATGAAGATATGTGAGCTTTGACTCTAGCGAGAACACCTTCTTGGAGTTTGTTTGGAGGTATATGCCTACCCCTCATATCTCGAGAAGCAAAACCACCTGTGTTTGTTTTTTTTATAGCTGTCCTAACTACAGTTTCTGAAATCCCTAATGTGTTTAGAAAAAACACTTTACAAACTTCAATTCTGTTCCCACTCACATGAAAGTAATACGAAATAGTTTGCTGTCTTTGAGACTGCTTACTGTAGTCTTTGGGTCTTTCTCGCCTTATTGGTTGACTTCTGACATGAGCTATTATGAACTGTCTTTTCACATCCCAGCTTTTCGATTCATTCCAGTAAGTAGCAAATATTTCTTTCCGCTGTTCTTCAATGATTTTTTCCGAACATCTTTTTTTGCAGGGCTTGCAAGGTGGTTTCATACATTTTTCTTTTATCAGATTTCCTGTTTTAGAAATATGTTCTTGGCCAGATAAAGTTTTCTTGCTCTCTTCATTGCTTTCCATTCATCAACATTTCTTAATTGTTTCCTTTGCTCTTTTCTTGTAGGTTTCTCTGCAGGTTGTCGTACGATTTCCTTCTGATTAATAGCTAGATTAATTTGTACCATTTCCGTTGAAGTTTGTTCTTCGGGATCTGATTCTTCCTCACTACAAACGTAATCAGGATCTGCGTCGCTGTCATCAAATTGCTCATATTCCAAATCATTTTGATTGTGGGCCGCTTCTAAAACAATTATTGTTAGTTAAGTTACAATAAACAGTTTAATAGTTTTATGCAAGTTAGGGAATAAACGTACACATTCAGATATTCATAAAGACATTGTGTCCGTTAGAGTTATTGTGAGCGTTTAATCTCAAGGTCTTTGCTGAACAATAATTTTATATGAATTATATTAGAAACTTCAACTTACCATTCATCACATTATCGGCTATCTTGACATCGTTGACAATAATTATTTTTGGTGTATTTGTAGAGACCGGGATAGGGCCTAGGGCACAGTTAACTGAGGTTTTCCTAAAATTAATAATTACTTTTGGGGTAAACAGTTGTATGTCCAAGGTAGGATTCAAATTATATGATTATAATCGTTTTATTTATGTATTATTTATTAAGAGTATATAACATCTTTCTTTTTAGTTTTTATCTCTGTAAATTATTTCCTAACTAGTACATTTTCATTATTGTTGTAACTAACCTCAAAAATTTATTATTTGTTACATTTCTTAGTAACTTTAATATTGTACTTACCACAGCTATTATCGTCTCCCATCACTTGCATCGCCATTTTCATAATTTTTTCTCCTCTACTCATCCTTGTTTGGTTTATATTAAAAAAAAACAGTATTAAGAGCACAAAACGAGACAAGTTGCCCATGCGATTGTTTACCATTACTGAAATTAGACGGCAACACTTATTACACTAACGCTTAAG